AGAAAACTCTTTCATAATAGAATTTCTATCCAATTAAAGAACTAATTCGACATTTTTCGTCCTATTTCAACTTCTTGTTTCCCTCGATGATTCTCTTCACCTATTATCATGTCAAGTTGACTCCTTTATATTATATACGTTGTGATGTGGGTGAACCCACAAACCCACCCGCATCATCCACCATCCGCCCGACCCAACCCGAGACTAAATGTGGTGGGTGGTGGGTTAAAAATTATCAATCCGTTTAAGCGCGGGTGGGTGCATTTTATGGTCAAAATCCACCCGACCCACCCAATGCCCACCCCTAGTCTGTACTCCCCCATACAAACGCTCGGATCTTTTTGTCAATATAGTCACGCACACTTGTCGGGAAAAACGTTGTTTGCATAGTGTAAGCTGGGAGGGAGGAGAGTACCGAGAGCGCTAATGTAATCCTGCCCGCCAGTGACAACGTAGAGGCTAGATAACTTCTGTTTCTTTGTTCATCTACCAAATAAATAGTTTTTGCTATGATAAATTGATAATGCACCATTAAATTGAATTCATTCACCATTCACTTAATGTGTATGAGCTTCTCTTCACCTTCACTAATCCATTTCCACATTGCCTCGCCAATATTTTTGTTCTTGTTTAATTAGCATAAAACTATGCAAATTTGAGGTTATGATAGGTTAAGTTTTTTGTTTTTCCTTTCAAGGAACACAAATTCCTAAGTAACCGAATAAATCACGATTTTCAATATTTTATCAGATGTCTTCAAAGGGACTACGAATTTCAATATTTACCGCATTGGAGCTTATAGCTTGGCTTGTCACCATGGATGCGATTTTGACCAAAACAAAGTTGGTAAGATGGGGTAAGTTGTCGGATGACAGTTGTGTGCTATGTAATGTGAGCAGTGAGACTCGTGAGCATTTGTTCTTTGAATGTTGTTTCTCGAGGAGTATTGCTAGTAGTGTGGGAAATTTTTTCAGAAGCAGTTCTTGGGATCTCAGACTCTCGGATGCAGGTGTGATTGCAAAGTGTAGCACAGCTCTGGGTAGACTCATTGGCCCTATACGGTGCTCTTTGATTACCTTCGTCTGGCAGGAAAGGTGTCGAAGATTCCATGGAGAGAGTCCAAGATCGCCTGAAGTGGTGAAGGAGTTATGGATGAGGGACTTTCGTTTCTTTGTTTCTTATTATCCAGTTTTAGAAGATGATTGTAATCGTATAACTAGGTTTGTTTGGGTAGGAAGGAGTCTTCTAGTTAGAGATTGGTAGAGAATATTATTGTTGGTTTTTCGGTTTTACAGATCTCAGGGTACTTTCCATTATGGAATTTTCCCCTTCGTTGTATTAGAGTGTGGAAGGTGTTTGCCTTTGCACTTTTTCTTGTTAATAAAATGGAACTGATTCAACAGAAAAAAATTCAATATTAAAGTCCTCACCGAACCATTTATTCCATGCACCCTATAACTTGGATCAGAACATACAAACTGGCTCGGGTCTTTATTTCATTTGAACACCCTTCTTTTGGACTATACCTACCTCGAGACCATACCTTATATGAGAATGGATCTTCTGCAAGAGCCAATAAGTAAGCATTATGAAATCCCAATGTGGACGGAGGGGAGATGTGTCCTGTGAATAAACATTATAGGTTAGTTTGCTTTGTAGATTTGAGGTATGGATTTGCGTTCAAATTTATAATTATCATAGTTTCGTTGCTTTGTAGATTTGAGGTATGGATTTGGTTCCAAATCTATAATTATCCTAGGAATAAACATTATAGGGTGGTTATGCTAAATTCATTGTTGCTCCATATGTTGGTGGAATGATCAAATTCTTGAGACCCATAAACTTTGAGCATCCAAATTCGTGAATATGAACTTGCAAATCCCAAATATGGGTGTGAGATTTGGAACAGAATCACAAATAAATGAACCTCATAATAACAATTACTTATATAATCTCTTGCCTCAAGAATATAAAATTGAAAAAAACTCTCAAAACATTTGGAGTGGTACAACTATATTCTAGACGCTTCCAATCCCGGCTTTACAACTTTGGACAACCATTTTCTTCAACCATTATGATTATCTCTTAGACCCCAAATCTTGTCCATTCTATCTCACTTTAACATACAATATCTTAGGGGTCGTTTGGAAGTTGCGATTGTTAAATAGATGTATTATTGAGAATGCATGTATAATATTATACATGTATTGTCGAATTTGATGCATTGTAGAATACAACGTTTGGTATGTGTGATTGTGTATGTCGCATCAGCTAAAAGCTGAGACAAAACAATCTCAAATCAACTATCTCAACAATCACAACTAAAAGTTGAGATATAACAATCACTCAAAATGAGTGATAGTTTCTGTCACATCACAGCTAAAAAAACAAAAAAATGATGCATTGTAAACAATACATGCATAATGACAATCTCAACAAAACTATCGCAACTTCCAAACGACCCCTTAAAGAAATCTCCATTAATTTAGACATTCTAAGAAAAAGTATTGCACTGTATAAATAAATCTACACAATAAATAAAAGTCAAATGAGAAAACTTGAAGCCCGTAGAAATGACATTTTGGTCTTCACAATTACTTTTTTATATTCATTAAAAAGACACTTACTAGGATTCGAACCATGACCACTTTAAAAAAAGCAAAGATCATAACCAATCACACTAAATACATTTGTTATATCTTTTTAAATTAAAAATATATAATCGCAGAGAGGAAAAATCTCTTCCCCCATTTCAATTCCCTGCTCCAGGAGCGTTTGTACGAAGGGTAGAATAGGGAGTGTCAATTTTTTTCCTTTTCCTCTGTGGAACGGGCCAACTTATCTTACACATGCGAATTTAAACGGGTCCAGGAGTGTTAATTTTTTTATTTAAGTCCTTTTATTTCTCTGTGGTGATAAAATATATATTAAAAGGCAAAAATAATACTCCTTTTTATTGCTAAAAAGAAAAAAATTAACAATAAACTAATGCATGGATTCTAATGGGCTAACAGCTAATCATAAAATAAAAGAGTTGAATGGGTCCGACCTACACGGAATTTGCCCATTAAGTAAAACAAATGAACATAATGGGTTTGTCATTCTAAAACAAACTATTTTCTCTAGCATAATATATATATTATGCTATTATTTTATATCTTAGTGGCTAAAATATAATGTTTTTTAAAGTTATTCAATGGTTCAACCTCGACCAACCCAATTAGTCCAATTTTTATCATTTCAAATATATATTATGTAATTATTTGATATTATAATGATTAAATTATAGTGTATACTATAGGGAATCGTTTGGTATTTGTTAGTAAAAAACTAAACAAAATGATCTATTTGATTATTTTTAGCATTAAAACGATCCTAGACATTTTCAGTTTTCTTTCAAAATTCTATAGTTTTATTCCCGAATCAGTGATGTGCAAATGGCGAATTGCAGTCATCTCTTTTCTTTCATTATTTTTTATTTTCAAATAGAAAGTTTAAAAGTAAAGGATAATTAGAGTTTGGCATGGGTCGATCAAACAGGCTGAATTTCAAGTTTTGGCTCGTTTTGATCAAGTCTAATTTATAATTACATGGTTCCCTGATACCCGATAAAATCTCAATCCAAACCAGTTTGGCAGGTGAGTCCGTGTTTACCACCATTTTCTAGGGATACATGAATGGTGGTTCCTATCCCAAATCGTGTTGTTCATTCTTGATATCCTTATATTTTATCATGGTTTGGCAAAAAACCAAAAAGCACAATGATGACAAGATGAAAGTTTTATAAAGCAAATTAATCGGCCAAGTGGCCGAGTAAAAGCTAGCAACGATTGTGAGATGTTCATTACCCGAAAACCGGCGGGATAGGCGATTTTTTATTCGATTTTCTGGAATTCGATTTCTATAAAACTTACTCCACCTCATCATATTACCAGAAACAATATTGTTCACAAGGTAACATGTACTTGATTTTGGTTCATAAGGCTGATTTTTGATTCGTTGCATCATTCATGTCTTTTCCCTACTAAAATTCACTATTTTTATCACGTGTTTCTCAAAAAAACTATACAACAATAAGCTATACACCCCATTATATTATCAAATTTCATACCTCACCTTCCTTCGGCCAAATGACCGGGGCCAACGCTAGTTCGGATATAATTGTCTAGGATGAAGTGAGTGGGTTTCCCTAGAAGCGCATGCAAGTAATCCTAAAAATGGTTACGGTTTTCAAACCGTAATCCTAAGAATAATGGTTAATAAACCATTTTCACCCAAACTCGTCCCATCCTATAACTCCATCGATTCCATAGAGTGAAGTGTTCTATTTGCTATAAAAAAAAGTGTTCTATTTGTAAAAAAACACCGAAATGCATAATAGGGAACTTCGAGCTTTCCAATGATGATGTGAAAACAACGTGTGGGGTTTTTGTTTTCGTAAGGTACCCGTTCGCCCCAGCCGCAATCCAATCACACAATTGACACCGCCTTCTCACCTGTCGTTTTACATTTTGATACCGGCTAACGCATGCAGATTGTTTTTACTTTTTCCCAAACTATTTTATACTACTGTTTGTACACGTAATGTCTGCTGTCTGCAGAATTGAAGATTAAGCCAAGAGAACAAATAACCAAAAAACTGAAACCAGCTGACAGGTGCGGGCGCCGTAAGCATGAAACAAACATAGGGAAGGGAGCCGTAAACCGCAAGACGAGGATCGAGGGAGTTGGACTAGGCAACTGAGCTACTAGCTGACCTTTGCTAAACTCCAGCCGCATCAGCAACGAAAGCCAGTTACTCGTAATGGATTTCATTTGCAAATGTCTGAATACACAATACCATGTGCTTCACAAACGGAGGTCACCAGGATTCGAACACAAGACATTCGGTCACATAAGGTTCTAATATCATGTCAAGAACCAATTGATCCCAATAATTCGAATTGTCGGGAGAAATTCAATCGTGTATCATATATCATTCACTAACACCATAGTTATCCATCGCGTGCAATTTTCCAACACGGTCCAATCAAAATGACGAATGAACCTTTGCAGCAGGTATGCAAACCAGTGTTTTTTTTGCTGGTCCTGGTGGTGGTGGTGGTTACAGGACATAGGCAGATACTGAGATACTGTCGCTATAGCTGCCCGTTAGCCTGGTAACTCCGTTGATTACAAAGGCGAATAGAAGAACAGGAGAGCACGGTTTCACGAGTGGGTAAACTACTAATAACGTCACTACAATGAACAAAATTAGAACTCAAATGCTTCCAAATGAACAATGGTGTTCGACTGCATCCTTCCTTGCATAGACACCACGACCTCTGGGAGCTCACCTTAAACGAAAACAAACGAATAATGGAGCATTTGAAGTCGCAAAATGTAAAGCCATCCCACGGCCAAATGCATTCATCAACGTCCTACAGACTCATTTCCTGGTTTTATCCAGAACCTTGATCTATCTCTTTGGAATGGCATAGTGCTCAACAAGAAGCTGCGCAACATCGTCGATTTTACCACCTTGGATCAGAACTTCATGCCCTTTCCTCCCTGTAACCCCATGGGAGAAGATTAGTTGCATTGTTTTAGCGTTACCAAAAACAGAAACCGAACCTAACATCCCCTAGTAAATGAAACATACCTGGGAGTTCCCCAACTGATGTACTGCAAGCAAATTTCTTCAGCAGTTCGGATGCAAGCATATCTGCATTGATCAAGAATGATTCCACGCCCGAGAGCTTTGTCACCTTCTTGTTGCCCGACCTCCTCTCTGTCACTATCTGTACGGTTTTTCAGGGCGTCTTTGCGAACCACTGACTCGCCGCCTCTGATCACCACATGGTGTGGCTGCATCCTCCACTGGTTGCTTGTTCAGGTTTTGATGAGCAATTCCCGCTTAGAACATCTTGGTAACTGTTACCAAGATATGAAGCTACACATTGATGACTGAATTCAACAAAGATAGACACTTTCAGTTACAAGAGATTGACACACAAATCTCCAATACCGTCTTTGCAGATGCTAGCTTGAAAAAACTACATGAGTGGGTTCTATGAAATAAAAACTAATAAAGTCTGCTTTGAGTATCAACGATCTCCCTGATCCTTTACCTGCCTATGCCCAAATCCACTTAATTGAGTTCCAAGTTTGCTGTCTACAAGAGCTTGATGATTGCTATCACAGATTCGCGCTCAATGGTTGAGTTCAGGTTATTCATGAAACAATGTAATGTTGGTGTGTCAGGGAGATGGTACCAGAACGAACCAATTTTGCAGGAGACTTAGCTAGTTACCACTTACCACTTAAAAACAATTTCTTGTGGGTAGATTTCTTGATATCCAGTATGATACCAGAAGGTCTGCAAGGCAAAACATGAAAAAACAAGAGTGAAAGCTGTCAACTGTCACGTACTAAAGTTTCATCTATCCAGGAAATTTATCATCAAGGCCCAAAAATGTGCTAAAGGAAGAATGCCTCAACAAGCATTGTACTGAACTAGCAAGAGTCAGGCCGTAACCTGGTAAGAAACAACTAATCCAGACTACCAGAATCATAGCTAGACCATCAAACTAGCTATCAGCAGGCTAGTACATTAGGGAGACACCAACCCCTTTGATTTTGATGCTCTTTAATTTCTCAGAATCTTCTCCATCTTCCAGTTTAGGGGTGAATCTGAAGGAGACAGAGCGCCCATCATATCTCTCATACCAAGGTTCTGCTTCTCCTCGTATAACTTCATTGGTCCCACCCAACAAGTCCTTGTCATACCACATAAACATGTTATCTGATTGGTTTCGACCCAAACCGAAGATAGGAGAACTCAAAGAGGCAGCGGTAGTGGTGCCAACGTTGCCATCGCAAGTGATCAATATCCAAACGTGCCCAACAACCGAAGAACACACAACACCAAATCCAATCCCTTTGATCGGCCGCTTAACGGTGAAGTTTGGAGGAGACAATTGCACCATCATACATGTATGATTCTCATGATTCCCACTTTTGTAAGCAAACCATTATGTGTTGATATGACTTGAATCAGACTATCAGCCGCTACGACTGGTAACCGGGGGTTATTTGGGTTCGGGTTCTGGGTCTGGTCTGTAACCGTTTCCTTTGCTAGATTGGATTAGGTTTAGACCCACATGGAGAAGTACTATAAATACTTCTCATACTCCTCTGTAATCTCCTCGATATAGTGAAACTGGCTCTCTCTCGCTCGTGGACTAGCTAACACACATCGTGTTAGTGAACCACGTAAATCGTGTGTCTGTGTTCTTTCGATTCTCGCTTTCGTATTCTTGCTTTGTCGATTCCGGCGATTTCCCGATCGGTAGCAGCGCGTTTTTAACATTCTGGAATCTCACTCCCCGAGTATTGAAGAACACCCTGTTACCAATAGATGGGCACTCTCATGAAAAGGATCTTTAAAATTTCCTCACTGCTAATCATATATATGACAAACATTAGCTATAATACTATATAATAATATTGGCATACCTGAGGATGTGGATTCAACACTGCATGATTAAGGAAATTGTGCACCATTTCATTAGGCAGATGCGTGTCCAAATGCGGGCAATCTTCAAAGAACAGAGACTCCAATCTTAGCCTGCCTAAGTTGTTTGGTAAGGATTGTAACAATTCACAACCACTTACATCCAGAGTTAGAAGATTGGGTGGGAGTTCCGGCAAACATCGAATCCTTAAACAGTCTGTCAAGGACAAGTAGGCCAACTTGACAAGTTTGCAGATGTTCGGGATGAACTCGAGACTTCTGTTGGAAGACAAATTTAAATGGGAGAGCTGGTGAAGTTCCTGGATGCAAACAGGCAGGGACTTAATATCCGTGCCAGTGGAATGAAGTCCCTGCAAAGATCTCAAATGGTTGATACCAGTTGGAAAGCTCTTCAGGTTTTGACATCCTTTTATGATAAGATGAGTCAAGCCAGTTACAGGCTGTGAGATTTTCGGCAAACTTTCAATCGATGGGCAATCCTCAAGAACAAGTTTGTCAGAGACCATCTTCCAGATATTCCTTGACAAGCTCTTGAGTTGGGGGGTTGCCAACCAAATCCAGGTCGACAAATCTTGGCAAAGAACCCATTGCCGTGGAGGCAGACAGAGAACTTCTTGTCTTTCATCCGCCGCTGAGGCGACGCGTTTGTTTCTTTCACAAGCTTGAAGACCAGGCCCGCCCGTTCTTGATTGGGCTTCATAACTTTCCAGATCCGACCCAAATAAAACCGGGCTTGGGTGCTTCAGGTGGGGAATCTGCCCAGGGACATCTGTTTTACTACCTGGGCTTCCGATTCACCACGAAAACTGGCGTTGGCTTGGCTGGCTACAATTGAATCCTAACTGTTTACTTACACTTGAACATAACGGTAACATACAAACACTAACTAACAACTAAGATTGACCAGTCACGTATGTACAAGTTTAAGGCAAGGAATGATTAACATTAGTTGTTCTGGGTATGGAAAACGCCCCTTTGGAAAATCACGAATTAACGCCGCAAACAATCTTCTTCAACCATTGACTCAGAGTTGAGCAATTAATCCTTCGAGTCGGGTTCGAGCCTGACGAACCTCAACAGTACCTTTTTCATTTTAAATTCTCAAATTGACAATTAAAGAGAGGTGGTCGCCATATACAAAACTTCTTGCCAACATTCGCCATCATCCAATGACACTAAAATCTTGTCTTCTAAACTTCGAATCCTAGCTGCAGTTTATATTTCTAGTCTTACAGAGTTCATATATATGTCAATACATTCAGATATTTGCACGACAATTCAAAAGGCATTGAAGAGAAAGTTAGTGAATATCAGACTTGAAACAGAGAGATCCACCACTTAGAGAACCCAAGCTTCTTCTTCGAGGGCGGCAGATCAGATTTGCAGTGTCCAATGTAAATTCAGCTCTGTTTCTCAATGAAGAACTGAAAAGAAGTACTCGTGGTGGGATTTGCAGATTAAACTTTTGTTACACCCTGATGCAGATTCAACACACATTCGCAGCAACTACATAATGTCTAAAAGAGACTGCTCAATACACACACTTAATTGCTCTGAGAAAAACTTGGAGGCCCAGAAGAAAATGAACGATTCAGATGCAGATACAGATACAACACTAGCAAAAAATATGCAGCAACCATAAAATGTACAAAAGATGTGCTAAAGGGACAAATAGTTGAACAACATTACAGGGAAACAACAACAACAAACTTTTGCCCTTTTCTCTATTACTTGCTCGGCATCTTCTTCCACCACTGGTTGGCAAATCTCACTACTGACATCTCTACACAAGGAAAACCTAGAACTCTAATTGTCTGGAATGAATTTGTTTAGTCTCTTTGCACACCACATTTGAATCCTCAAATTACGAATTGTCTAAAAGGAGTATAAAAAGGACAGATATTCTTACAACAATCAAAGACCATCAAACAATTAGTTAGTAAAGTAGGGAGATACCAATACTTTTGACTTTGATGCTCTTTAGCTTCTCGGGATCTTCCTCCTCACCTGGTTGAAGGGAAAACCTGAAGGAAACAGTGCGCCCAGCATATCTCACATACCAAGGTTCTGCTTCTGCTAGCATTCCTTGCTTGGTCTCACCTAACAAGTTCTTGTCATACCACATATAAACGTTATCTGATTGGGTCATACCAAAACCGAAACCAGGAGAACTCCAAGAAGCAACAGCAGTAGCAGTGCCGATGTTGCAATCGCACGTCATAGATATCGCAACGTGCCCAATGTCCGATGAACATACAACACCAAATGCAATCCCTTTGATTAGCCGCTTAATGGTGGAGTTTGGAGGCAATTGCACCATCATACATGAATCATTCTTATAATTCGCACTTTTGTAAGCAAACCATTTCGGAATCTCACTCCCCGAATGTTGAACAACACCCTATACCAACAGATAGGCAATCTCGTAAAAAGGATCTTCAATATTTACCACCACTGCCAATCATAAATATAACATAATTATATAGTATTGTAATGTCTAAATACCTGAGGATGTAGATTGCACACTGCATGATTATGGAAATTAAGCACTACTTCTTGAGGCAGATGTGTACCCTCTTGCGGGCAATCTTCAAAGTACAGCTCCTTCCATCTCAGCCTGCCTATGTTGCTTGGTAAGGCTTGTAACAATGTGCAACCACTTACATCCAAATTTAGAAGATTAGATGGGAGTTCTGGCAAAAATTTAATACTCGAACAGCCCATCAAGATCAAGTGTGACAATTTCACAAGCTTATGGATGTTGCTCGGGATGAACTCTAGGCTTTTGTTGGAACACAAAACTAAAGTGGAGAGCTGGTCAAGTTCATGAATAGTAAAAGGCAGCGACTTAATATCTGTGCCAGTGAAATGGAGGACCTGTAAAGATTTCAGATGGTTGATACCGGTTGGAAAGCTCTTCAGGTTTCGACATCCTCTTATCCTAAGCTCAGTTAAGCCAGTCAGAGGCTGTGAGATCCTCGGCAAAGTTTCAATCGCCTGGCAATCCTGGAGAATTAGTATTTGAGAGACCATTTTCCAGATATTCCTTGACAAGCTCTTAAGTTGGGGGTTGTCAACCAACTCCAAGCGAACAAATCTTGGCAAAGAACCTTGTTGACGATCATCATCATTATAATAATCCATCTCTCTCATTGCGGTATGGCACAAGCGAAACACCTTCAAGCTTGCTGAAATGGGAAGGAAGTTGGAGATGTGTTTACCACATAGACGTAACCAGCCACCCTGCTTTATATTGTAAATTGCAGCTGGCAAGGCTATGATAGGTGTCTCCGTTAAATCCAAAACCTCCAACTCTCCTGAACTGATCTCCGGACAAGAAGTGATCTTGGGACAGTTAGACAATCGAACATCCTTGAGGCACTTCGAGTTGAGGTTGGCCGGAAGACTCCGCAGATTTGTACAATCACTTAGGTCGAGTCTTGTCAGCTTGTCTAGATCTCCAACATTACATGGCAGCTCAGTTAGGCTTTTGCATCCTTGGAGATAGAGGTACTCTAAATTCGACGACCACGATAGGTCCGGGATCGCAACTAAATTTATGCAGTTGGAGAGGTCAAGCCACACTAGATTCACAAGCTTTGCCTGCAAGGCATAACCCCTTTTAAGATTAACAACTTTACATATATATAAATAAAAGAAAACATAGATAAGAGAGAAGATATTTAATTCCACTAAGATAAAAGATCAATTTTCCACATTTTGTATTACCGCCTTTACCTCCTTGTATCACAGCCTTTGAATCACATGGGGAGAATCCAAGGGTTCCAAAAATTGAACTCATCCCAAAAAAAATTGTAACATACCTCAACTTTCCAGCATCTTTCCATTACTGGACTACCTCGTAGAGAAAGTGTGACAAGGTTGTCAGGGGAAAATGTTGATGGCAAAGATTTTGCAGTGAATTTGTGCCATATCAACCACCTCAGACTATTAGGAAGAATGTGAAGGCCACCATACGATACATGAATTTTGATAGTTCCATACTCATTTCGTGGATAGAAGAAGCGGAGAAATCTAAGAGAAGTCATCCCTTCAAAGGCATTGGCTTCCAGTCGCATCTCGTTGGCTTGAGAAAGGTCCAAATATATGCCCTCAGTTGCTCTACCTCCATTTGTGGACAAGCTTGTTGTTAGTAGTTTGTGAATGTCATCAATATTCTTCAACCTAGTGCGGTTTTCGAGTTTTGTTTCCTCATTGACAATGCTCCAAGCCATTTCTCTTAGCAAGTCATGCACCTGAATCCTCTCACCGAGATCGTCCCTCACACAAATGCACAAGGACTTATCGATTAGATTCTCGAGTACATAATGGGCATGGTAATATTGTATCAATATGGATTTTACTGTCCCGTAGAAGAAACAAGCAATGTCCAAGAAAAATCTCTTTTCCTCAACTCCCAGTGCGTTGTAGCTTCTCTTCAGTACATCATGGATTCCTGGGGTTGGAATCTGTCGCATATCACCTAAGAAACTCAGCCAATAATTTTTGTCCTTATCTGATAATGCACCTCCAAAAACTTTTATGGCCAAAGGGCTTCCTTTGCAATAAGATAGAGCCCGATGTGATAATTCCATCCAATCATCAGGTGGAAGGCACCTTCCAAATGCGTGTATACCAAAGAGTTGAAGAGATTCATCAGGATCCAAAAAATCAACATGGTAAATCCTAGCCCCTACATTTCCAAGCACCATTCGATTTCTAGTTGTAAAAATAATTCTACTTCCTGCGGCAAAGAGATGGGTGGAACTCAAGAGATCTCCCAACAACAATTGTTCTAATTGTGACAAAGTTCCCAGATCATCAAAAACAAGGAACACCTTCAAACGGGAAAGTCGACTTCTTCTATAACTAACATCCAAGTCATCAAAATTTATGTTACTTTCGGACAATAGGGTTGAATAGAGTTTTGTTACGATTCCTTCCATTCCATTTTCCTTTTCACAAGTTTGGTTGATGTTTCGAACAAAGTAATGCTTGATTTCTTTAGTCAAGGACGTATACCTTTGATAGCAAACCCTAGCTAGAGTGGTCTTTCCTACACCACCCATCCCCCAAAGTCCAATGATTCGAAATGCATCTTCGTTCATAGCTAATAGGCGTTCAACCCCAGAAACGCGAGCATCCATGCCAATCAATATATTAGACTTTACTCTTGGTGACATGTCTACAAGTCTATTCAGAACATCGTTCACTATTGCCTTAATTAACTCAGAGTCAATCCTAAAAATGCCAAACAAAGGGAAAAGAGGAAGAAAAAAATCCAATGAGAAAATGGAAATAGAAGTTGAGAGAACCAAGGATTTAGTAAGATAGGAAGAAAATTGAATCTTAATTAGGAGTAAGGAATGCTTACTTGATTGCTTGCGAGGTATGTCCAGCACAATTAGCCACAGCTTTCAAAGCATCCAGCCTTCTCTTCCTATCCTCCAGAGGTTTACTAGCTCTATGCTTCCTTTTCCAAAACTTTGGAGGTCTGGCTCCATATTTCCGCTCAATGGCATTAGCATAGCTTCCAAAATCTTCGGTAACTTCGGAGGGGTCCACTTTGTAGAAAACTGGAAGTACCCGGTGGCCAAATTCTTCCATGCTTTGAGAAATGGTGGCCACTTCATCCAGGCACCAGCTTGAGTCTGCGAAATTTTCCGAGAAAATCACAATCGAGAGTGCTGATCTTCGGAGCAAAGTGATCAGCACGTCGATGCACTCTGTTTTTTCGAGCATGTCATCAAGGAAGACTTTGATTTGCTCACGGGAGAGAGCTTCCATGAGGTGGCTAGTAAAACCGTTGCGGGTGTCGGTTCCTCTGAAGCACACAAAAACATCGTACTCCCACTTCACATTATCCATGACCCTATGAGATGAAGAGGAAGAAGAAGAAGACATTAAAGCTTCAGAAGAGGAGGAAGCCATCAGAGTGGGGGGATCTTGATCTGTTTACTTTATAGTTAGCATGGCAAAGGGACCACCTCTGCATAACAACTAATTGTGAATTGAAGTTCGGAGCAATGGTTGGGATGTGGAGGGTTGACTTTCTTTGTTAGCATAAAGGAGGTTGGCTCTATGACTTTTTCTTGGGTCATTGTTTAATATATGAATCGCTATTTGCCGCCCGCAGTTTTACTATTTGCCGCCCGTAGTTAGAAATAAAAAGACGATTTTGCCCCTAACCCTATCCCACCCTCAACCCATCTGCCGCCGCCCCCTTCAACCCTCCCTCCTCCTGTCGACCTCCCGCCGCCGAAGACCCTCCTCCTGCCGGACCTCCCGCCGCCGCCGACTCCTCCCTCCTGCCAACCTCCTGCCGCCGACTCCTCCCTCCGCCGCCGCCGTCTTCCTCGCTCGCTCTCGCCGCCACCAACCTCCCAAGCTCGGCGGAGGGAATTTTTTTTTTTTCAGTCGCCGTCCGACTGGTCTGGTCGGACCCCGTCCGCCCGGTCTGGTCGGACCCCGTCCGCCCGGTCTGGTCGGACCGATCTGATTGGGTTTATGATTCGGTTTGAATGGTTCGGTTTAAATAAATATTTATTAGATTTATTTTAAATACAATTGTTAGTATCTTAATTAGTTTAATATTGATAGTTGAATAATTAGTATATAATTGTTAATTTGACCACAATTGGTTAAGGGAATTAGGGTTTGACTTAATTAGGGTTTGACCTGAATTAGGGTTTGACTAAATTATATATTATTTGACCACAGTTGGTTGAGGAAATTAGGGTTTGACTTAATTAGGGTTTGACCCGAATTAGGGTTTGACCTGAATTAAGGTTTGATTTAATTAGGGTTTGACCCGAATTAAGGTTTGATATAATTAGGGTTTGACTTAATTAGGGTTTGACCCGAATTAGGGTTTGACTAAATTATATATTATTTTGACCATAGTTGTTTGAGGGAATTAGGGTTTGACTTAATTAGGGTTTGATTCGAATTAGGGTTTGACTTAATTAGGGTTTGACCACAGTTGAAATAATCTCACCCAAGATGACGGATAACAACAATAAGAATCAACTCGACTCAACTGGACCAATAATGACAATAAAGAAGGAAAACATCTCATCCACCTCCTATACCTTATACTCCTCTGAAACCCTAAATCCTCATTCCCCTTGAATAGCTACCTTCAACCTCGATCCATCCAATCCTACTAGGAAATTATTTTAGAGGCAAAATCATCTCTTCCTCCACTAACAATAATATTTCGTCTCGTGGAAATATACGTGATAGGCTCAAGAAACTCCTAGTTACCACCCCCAGAGCCCTAAAAACACCTCGATGAAAGTTTTGGCACTATTCATCTCTTTTTGTCGGGAATGTCCGATTGATAAACAATCGATTCCAACACATTTGTATCCACATTTTAAGAGATCGATGAAAGTTTCAATATTTTTTCATGTCGGTGACTCTAGTAATTGTTAAAAGATGTTTTTGCCCGACCTTCCCTGAGTCGCAAAGAGTCCTCTTCGTGCCTCGATTCCTTGGAAGTTTTATAAAACATAATTTAGGTACGATGATCTTATTAAATATGAAATAAATACAATTAAAAAAGGTTTAATCAAAATTTATAAATATTTTATAACTATTCTACATAATTAAAATGAATTATTCATAAGTTTATACAATATTTATGATAATTTATGATTAAATATCCATTCTCTTATACACTACTTCAGATCATTTGTAATTATTTAACATACTATAATTATTTAATTGCTATTATACTGAATTTATTTATTTTAGCTCTACTTACATAAATATAAAATAAGTATGAATTAGTTTGTACAATATTTTTTATAATTTAATTTTTTTCCTATGAATAAATTTTAGTTTTTCTAATTCATAAATATAATTAATAAACATACATATAATTATTAGCATGATATAATATTAAAAAAAATAGAAGATTGAGTTAAATAATTATTATCATTTAGCGACGAATTTTGTGACGGTTTTGAAACCGTCGCTAATGCACGGTCCGCTCGCCGGCGTCGGACGGGGTCCTCCCGCCAGCGTCGGACGGGGCCCTCCCTCCGGCTGTGGTGATTTGGTTCTGGCCGCGGTGGTAATCTGGAGGTGGTGGCGACGTCGGCGATTTGGCGGCGGTGGTGGATTGGCGCCGGCGACAGTAGTGGTGGAATGGGGTTTGTTTTATAAAAAATGAACAAAGGGTAAAAATGTCATTTTAGTTTAATTTACGGGCGACAAATAGTAAAGAGACGGGCGGCAAATAGTAACTCTCTTTAATATTGCTTCCTCACCTAATCTAGTTTCTGTCATTATCATAGAAAAACAGTATCTTTCCATTTTTAAATTCACAATTTGACAATTAAAGGGAGGTGGCCATCATAAACAAGGCTATCGAAATTTCTTGCCATCATCCAAACATATTACCTAACCACTAATTTTGCTGGGAGCCTGTGACACTAACCTCTTCACTTATGAACATCTAATCCTAGTTGCAGTATACATTTCTACCAAACAAGCACCAACAGCAGGAACATTCTGCAGAGTTTATAAAAATGTCTATGCATTCAAATATATAAGCGCAAAAAAAAAAATTGCGAAGGATAGAATATAAAACGAACAGATAGGTAATAACAACAAATCATAAGCCATTTACCAGAGAGTGAATTCATGAGATGCGCAGGCATGGAGAGAGTCTTTCATCCTCAAGACTTTTCTCACAGCGAAACAGTCGAAAATTGTGAATTCGCCGAATGTAAAACTGTCCAACGACCAAGTTGCATTCATCAACCTCCTACAGACTCATTTCCTGGTTTTATCCATAACCTCGATGTATCTCATTGGAATGGCGTAGTGCTCAACCAGAAGCCGTGCCACATCATCAATTTTACCTCCTTGGATCAGAACTTCATGCCCTTTCTTACCTTAATCCCCACAGAAGATTAGTCACATTGTTTTAGAGTACCAAAAATAGAAATGAACAGAAGTAAACGAAACACACCTGGGAGCTCTCCAACTGATGTACTGCAAGCAAACTTTTGCAGTTCGGATGCCAGCATATCCGCATCGATCAAGAATGATTCCACGCCCGAGAGCTTCGCCACCTTCTTGTTACCCGACAGCCTCTCTGTCACTATCTGTACACTTTACAGGGTGCCTTTGCCAACCACTGACTCGCCCCCTCTAATCACCAAATGGTGTGGCTGCATCCTGCCAAAACGTCGATCCAAGATCTTTCTTGTGAATCACATTGTGATATGTCGATCCTTTCTTGATGGCACCCTTGAACAGAGCATCACATAGTGGTGGATCCAAGACAACAGTTGATTTGTCTGTTGGCTTCACCAGATTTTCTTTCTCGACGTACTGGAAGACAACATCAGAGGCTTCTGAACCACTGTAGAGCCTCCCTGTATCCGCTCCAACAGAGGGAAAATAGGGTTCACGTGAGAACTCGGTTTATATATCTCCACCACTTCAAGTGTCTGCTGTGATTGGCTTCCTCCACTGGTTGCTTGTTCGGTTTTCTGTTCCTCCCTTTTTTCCGGCCTGAAGGATGTGTAGTCCGGGTGGTTTCGGTTAACAGAAACTAACACTGTTTCCTTCTTGTGTTTATCTTCCTTCACTGTTATGTGTTAATGAGTGAAAACACTGTTTTCATGAGCAATTCACGCTTAGAACATCTTGGTAACTGTAAGCTAGATATGTTGCTACATATTGATGACTGAATGTCTGAATTCAACAAAGATATACACTTTCAATTAAGAGATTGCCACACAAATCTCCAAGACCGTCTTTGCAGCTGCTAGGTTCAAAAACTAAATTAGTGAGTTCTATGAAATCAAAATGGATCAAGTCTGCTTTCAGTATCAAAGATCTCCTAGTTCCATTACCTGCCTACATCGTAGGCCTACCTGTTTTTTCTTTTTTTTTTTTCTTTCTTTTTTCTTTTGAAGAGGTATACCTACCTAAGTTCACTCAATTTAGTTCTAAGTTTGTTGTCTACAAGAGCTTGACGATTGATATCACAGATTCGAGCTCCATGGCTAAGTTCAATTTATTCGTGAAACAAGATAATGTTGGTGTGACGTGGAGATGATACAGGAACGTACTAATTTTCAGAAGACTTGGCTTGTAACCACTTCGACAATTTCTTGTAGGTTGATTTCTTAATATCCAACGTGATACCAGAAGGTCTGCAAAGAAAAATATGATTTGACCTACATTGATAAGAGAAACAAGAGCGGAAGCTGTCAAATGTCATGTAGTAAAGTTTCATCTATCGAGGAAATTTATCATCAAGGCCAAAAGATGTGCGAAAGGGAAGAATGACTCAACAAGCATCATACTGAACTAGCAAGAGATGACACGAGCTATCACTATAGCAGGAATCACAGCTATCACTATAACAGGAGTTATGCTCATGCAAAGATTAAGTTCTTCGGTACCCAAATCTGATTAATTTTCACCCCAAAAGTGAACCACGCCATTTTTTTAGAAAAGATGATACGAGCTCCTGAACTCACTATAAAAAGCAAAGAACTAATGAAGCTATATTATAAGTATTCCAAAATCAGGATCATCACTTAATTTCTCGTTTAACACTGCCATTCCTAAAAGGGGATACTAGGTCGAGGTTTAGAAGATAGTAATGAACACTACTGGCAGAGTGGGTGCTTGTGGTTCTTCAAGACTTGGACATGTCGGAAGCCATAGATCATTCAGGTGTGTTAGAAACACGATTTTTCGTGTTTATCATTAATATTATTATTAGGATAATTCTTATGGTAAGTAGTCTTCTAGTAGAATTAGGTTTATTATTAGGGTTTTCTAGTATTTCCCTATATATATGTACTTTGGGTCATTCATCATATTAAGCAGAAATTAATAGAAAAGTCCTCCTTCCCCAAATCCCTAATCTCTTTCTCTCAAAATCTCGTCTATCCTTCTCTCTAGAGGCTTCGGCCATTCTTTCTGTTCTTCCCTAATTCTGTTCCTAATCCCTAATTCTCTTCTAAATCCCTAAATCTCTACCAATTTCCAATTTCCCAACACAATCGTTGGAACCCTAAAAATAGGTTTCCTACATCTGGTATCAGAGCCCGGTTCGAGAATTGAGTTCGCCACAACTCTCAACCGGGGACGAGTTCTACAACTGGTTCGACGATGAGCTCTTCAAAGCTCTCGAACCTGTCGTGGGCAGAATTGCGGGACAGAGCCCGTCGCATCGGTCGCCGTTGGCTGCCCGAAGAGCAGGCGGTCGAGCTGTCTGGCGCCGGCCCAAATGCGACGCCCCGTCTCTATGCTTCACCAACGTCATCAACGATCCGATCGCCTGCCATAGGCCAGGAGATGACGATCACCGCTGACAAAGCTGCAATAAGCACCGCGCCTTCACTACCAACCGGAGAGGAGAAAGAAGACGGTCATGGGTCGACGGTCATTGCAGAGGGTATCGCGAAGGAGGAGTGCTCCGTTGCCGTCATTCGACGACAAGAATCAAAGCAGGATCGTTGGGTTTCTTTGCCGGCCATGCAAGGAGCTCCTCCGACGCTGCAATCGACGCTAGCCCCAGCCTGGGCGTTGACTGCCGAGACGACGAACACCCGGGTTGACTCGTCGCCATCGAGGAGAGAAGAGCCACCGCTGAATGAGGCGGCGGATCTACCTAGCTGCCAAGGAAGCCGCTCGACGCCGGAGGAAAAATCGGAGAAGAAGCCGGCGGACGAGTCGCCGGCGGAGAACGAGGCAGAGACAGCGCCGTTTGTCATGTCGAATGACAGGGAGAGGCAGCTTCGAAGGCCGAAAGCCGGTTCGATTCCTCACCGTCGGCTGAACTGCTTGCCGCCGGGAATGATGTCTAAGACGAGGCAAGCGACGGGATGGCTCTCGGATCGTCGGGTGGGCTGCTCCGCGCTAGGAAATACGTCGGAGGGCTGCTGCTGGCGAACGAGATGGAGAAGGAGGGCGGCGACGTCTCTCCTCGTGCAAAAACTAGGTCGCCAGTCCTCTTCAGCAGTATGGGCTTCGTTGGGTCGTCCACCTTGGACCGCATATCTGAACGGCCCAATAGAAGTGGGCCGAAGGGTCAACGAATTGGATTCCATGAGTGGTAGAACGACGCCACACAAGCTTCCCGCACCACCGACCTTGTTGATCATCGCCGAGCCATCTGTCGCGACCAAGAAGAGCGGCATTGCCGTTGGAGCACGAGTGGCCGAGTCCATCGTTCTATTAGACGGACTTGGTTTGTGGAAAAGGTTAATTAATGTCTTGTGCTGCCATGAAAAGTGGGGAGTTTTGGCGCCAAATGGAGGCGCCGTTAGCCATGGTCCCACTGATGAAGGAAGTATATACAGAGTTGGACCGCCGCCAAGTCCTAGATGGGGGAACGATATAGCGGTGGCGGGAAAAGAGCTCATTGAGGGTGCACATGGGACATTTCTTGGAGCCATTGTGAGGCAGGAGGTATCAGCTCGCAGCATTTGTCAACACTTGGGAGTTTCGCTTGCTGGGGACAAGTGGGAGAGTGGCAGTGGAGAGAATAAGTGCTACATGTCCTTGGACCATTACTATATGGAATTCGAAGTGAAGGATAAGGGCTCATTGAGCTTTGATCCTCATGATATGAGTCGTGTGAGAAGTGGAGGATTGATGCAAGCAGGGACTGTTGATGTTAGATTTGCTAGCGAGCTTGAGCATAACTGGAAGAAAAGGAAGCGTAAGAAGCAAAGAAGAGACGATCGGATTGTACGAGAAGGTTGGAAGAAATGGTTCAAGACGGACAACCTTGAGGACAAGGTTGGTCTGAAGGGGGAGGAGATGTTAGAAACACGATTTTTCGTGTTTATCATTAATATTATTATTAGGATAATTCTTATGGTAAGTAGTCTTCTAGTAGAATTAGGTTTATTATTAGGGTTTTCTAGTATTTCCCTATATATATGTACTTTGGGTCATTCATCATATTAAGCAGAAATTAATAGAAAAGTCCTCCTTCCCCAAATCCCTAATCTCTTTCTCTCAAAATCTCGTCTATCCTTCTCTCTAGAGGCTTCGGCCATTCTTTCTGTTCTTCCCTAATTCTGTTCCTAATCCCTAATTCTCTTCTAAATCCCTAAATCTCTACCAATTTCCAATTTCCCAACACAATCGTTGGAACCCTAAAAATAGGTTTCCTACAAGGTGCGAGTGAAACACTAACAAAATTGAAAACCAAAGCAAAAACGAACTTAGTGGACACACAAAATTTCACAAACATATAAATCTGGGAAACAAGCTTCCAAAGCCAGCTGATCAAAATAGTCAACCTCAGTTAATCAGTTCCTTTTTCTGTTTCCTTTACTTTTTGGTAAAACAGTACATCAATTCCAAGAACACAACAGATGTTACCATAAAGTGCTTCCAGGCATCGATAGATCCTTGTCTTTAACAGTCGTATGAAGGGCTTGCAGAAGACAATTGTCCAACAAACTATCCACTTCCTCGGCAGATAAGGTATGCTGTTCTTCCTCAGCAGCTGATTCATCACCAACATTATCTGAAACCTTCAAGTTACCAACCTCTACATTTAATTGTTCAACTTGACTTTTGGAAGCTTCGGTTGATGACGAAGGAAGATGATCCATTGCGTCATTTGCTACAGCCAATTTCTCAACTTCGTCAGTTGTTTTGCCGTCCTGTTCATCATGTGGAGAATGACGATCAAGACCTTCAGCTGAATCAGAATCTTGGGCCACTAGAGAGGCAGCCAGATCCTCAATAACAATATCCTCCAAGAAACCTGCATTAGGCACAAAGTGACCGTCCACTGACTCTCTACAAGCAGTGCCACATTTCAACTCAGCGACAGCGTTTCCCAGATGAATATCTCAAACAGTGTGCAGCATAATTACCGAAGTGAGTCCCTGTAATAGTGTGTTATTCTTAAATCCTTGCCACGCAGACCAGCTTTCATTGCTTCAGTACTGCTCAAAGTAGTTAACCCAACCTGGAAAATTAGAAGGTTGTCTTTTTCATGGTACTACAAGAGTAGCCATTCTCCAACTAAAAAAAAGATCCAAACACAGTAAGTTGAAAGCAAAGTAACCGAATGTAAACAATGAAAGCTTACAGCAACAGGTGCTGGGTTCCTAGGAACTTTCACAGACCATACTTCACCAACTTTAAAGGAGGGTAGTCCTTCAGCAGGCACACTAATGCCCGGGAACATCAAATCAGCACCTCCAAGCATGAATAGAGAAACCTCACCTCCCTTCAACAGAAAAGAAGGCAAGAGTGCAGGTACTCTCCAAAGAGCAAAAACTGCATGAAGAGACAAGTGAAACTCAATATCCCACCATAAACCAGATAACCAAAATGAGTTATGCACTTTGGAGAGTTCATAAAACCCCACCCTTGAAGAGGAAAAAAAAAACAGGTCAAATTATACTTCAGGTTGCCTTTTTAACTGTTCTTTTTTATCACCTGATACTCTCCTAGCTTCTAGGCAAACATATGCCTAAATATGAAATCGAACACTGAAGAGTTTCCCTTCAACTCCCACTCTTTGATCACAAAGGCACATTTCTCTACAGTACTAGGAGTCAACAAATTCAAGACAACATCCAGCTTACAAACTCATTGATGCAGCATTCCCCTAACAACTACAACTGCAGAGTCAGAGTAATCCACATTTCTGGTGGTAGTAGTAGTAGAGGAGGAAAATGGTGGAAGCACCAACCTGTGGGATAAATCTCAGTACCCCTGCCATCAATGTCGAACAACATGAGGAAGTCACCTTCAACACTATAAACCAGGACCCGATTACGAAGCTTAGCAACTGCTATCTCCACCTGAAACGCAAGACTCATCATAGAAACCATCAATTACTAAGGACACTTTCCTTACATTCAGTCAATGATGAGAATAACCAATGATTCCTCGTTCAAAAAGGGAAGGGGACCATCTGAAAGAAAACTCACCTTGGGTGGGAATAAGACGTCCATATCGGCATCAGAAGCACGCGGGAATTTGTCTCTTGAGGTTTCGTTTGAGCTTCTTTCGGTCAGCTCCGGATAGCCTCTGATGCGATTTCGCCTCCACTGCTTTCTTAAACATCGTTCTCCCGCTTCGAACTGAAAACCCAGAAGTTGCCGTTGATATACCTTAGAGGAGCACAGTTTTTGTTTTTTAACAGCCTGTTTGGATACAATTCAAGAAGAAATGGAAATGGAATTCTATTTCCAATTCCTATTTTTATAGAATTTCATTTCCAATTTTAGTGTTTGGTATAATTCCTCCAATTAAAGAAATGAATTGCACTTTTAACAATAATTAATAATATAATATATTTATTTTATCTTGGGAAATGAAATATGAATGATAGAGAAAGAGAGTAGTGTGATAGTTGGTTAATAAAATAATAATAAATAGTGATGGGACCCACTAATTCCATCTTCATAAACACAATTCCTATCACTTTTGATAGGAATTGTAATTCCCAAAACTTAGCCCAAATGGAATTCATTTATCAACCTTCTTATCCTTCCAAACATAAAATATGGAATTGGAATTGAAAATGGAATTCCAATTCCTGAGTTTTTTGTCGATCCAAACAGGCTGTAAGAGAATGAAAGGAAGATTCTGGAGCGGCCGGAAATGTTGGCGGTGGCGATTACGGTGGCTGTCAAAAGTAATAAAAAAAATAGCTCCAATCGCCGGTAATTCTCGTTGTTATATTTATTAGGCCAAATTCATTTGTCTAGCCAAAATTTTCATGTTTGTGACAATAATAGTCACTTTTTGCGAAATATCAAAAATAGCCAGAATTTTGAAGTTTCATGACAAATATAGTTTCCCTAAAAAAGTATATATATATAGATAGCCATTTCTGTTACATATTTTAACGGCGTCAGTGACATCGTTAATCAAATTAACGGAACGCTTACTTGGCTGCCAACTCACTGGACACATCATCGACACTCACCAACAGTTGCCACATGGATGTCATGTCATATTTTAATTTAAAAATAAATAAAAATCATAAATGAAAAATCATTAAAATACAATAATTAATTTATCTATTCTTCCCTTCATCTCTATCGTTCCTTTCATCTCCATCTCCCCCGTCCACCAAACTGCTCGCCATCTTCAACTTTTGCCCTTGTATTTTCAATCAACAGAGATGGGGAATAACAAAGATAGATGGGGAACAACAAATTGGGAAAGCCAAAGGATCCCATTTTTCACAGTCACCCACCGCACAAATTGGGAAACCCCACCGTCGCAGCAATCGCCCACCGCCGCTAGTCGCCCACCATGGATCCGGCGAAGAAGCTCGAAATCATGCGATATCCGAGGGATTTCGTGGAGGGGCAGGAGCAAATGAGTGATGCTCGATTAACCTCGGGAATCGCAAGAAGGGCTGCTCGAGCAGCATAAACGGAGGAGGCTCGTCAGGCTTCTACAAGGCGGCTGGCGGTGGAGATGAGAGGAGGAGCCACCGTAGGCGGCTCGACGAGTCAGGGAACTCGATTACGCTCGAGGAAGGACTATCTCGGCGTCGAGGAAGGAAACACCGACGTTTGGAAGGAGATTAAGGCGGTAATTGATAAGGCGGAGATGACCCCGCGTCCGTGAGCGAGGTGCTGATTAAGAATCGGAGGGATAAGGACAAGGCAGTGGCGGATTTGCTGCCGGATTGACTGATATCGAAAGCGAATTTGGGAGGATTTTTCGAACAGGAGTGACGGCTGGGATAACTAACGCAAGGGGAATGAAGAGAGAGAGGAGAGGGATTGGAGTAGAGAGAAGTTTTGGTGCTCGGGACACGACCCTGATTTCCCCAGCGTGCCGGCGTGAATCGCTTTGGTGCTTGGGATACGACCCTCATGAGGAGGCCGCAGCGGACAGGAGTGAAGAGGCCGGTGGATTGGGGTGGGTGTGGGGTTGAGGGCGAGGGAGGCAGTGGAAGATGAATTGATATGATTTTTAATGTTTTACTGAACTTAATTAGAATAAATTTTAGAAAGAGAGAAGGATGGATGGTTCAAAAATACTTTTTTATTTTTCATTTAATTTAATTAAAATAAAAGGATAAAGTTGTAATTATTTTTCACCTAATATTATTTTTGAATAAAATTTGACACATTAACCGCTGTTGTTAGTCCAGTGAGCACATTAACTAACACCATGAAACAATTGGACGGAAGTGGCTATATTTGGTATTTTGCCAAACGTGTCTATATTTGGCCAAACCGTCAAAGTTTTGACTACACAAGTGTATTTTGCCTATTTATTATTAGTATTCAATTTTATTTTTTCATATAAAATGGAGTGAAATCAGAACAAAAATCTACATAAGAATTAGTGGATACAATTTGGAACCCACTCCCTTAACAAAGAGAACATAGAAGGGTCACGACTCACGATAAATAGGTCATCTTGTTATTTTAGCGTATATTTGTCTTCCCTTAAAATCTTTGTTTAATTCTATAGTTATTTGATCCCGTGATAAAAGAGTAATTTTTACCACTACAGGAGCAATTATGTTATGTCACATATCTTAAAGGTATAGTAAAAAAAAAACTATAAAAGAATGAACCGTGAGTTGAGAGTTATATTTCACTAGACTCAATACCCGTGGCTACGCCACAGGACGTGTTTAGAGCTTTATAGTATTTTTTAGAAACACGATAATTATTGGCTCTCAATATTATAAGAAATAAATATTCAATCATCATTCAAATCACCCTAATAAGCTAAAAATTATCACCAAATTCTACTTTTTCAAAAGTTCAACATATTCCTCATCTTTCGTACCCTCGCATAATCACCTCAGTGGGTTGGTATCTAACATTACCAAGAACAAAATTAAAATATAATCAAAGAACCAAAGTTGATTGAAACTATCATTCGTCCAAACAATCACAAACAATCAATAGAGGCATGGAGCTCCTCAAAATTAGTTATTCTTGGTTCTATAGCTATCCAAACAATTAATAGCATGCACCATAGCCTCTCATGAGACAAAGCAAATAGCAGCCACAATAGTTAGTAAGAGCTTCACAGACAAACGAACATCATATACCAAACAAATGGTTGGTCAAAGATGGTCAAAATCCTTGTAAAACATACATCAAGAGCTAATTATTGTGATCCAGTACCAACCCAACTGACCATGATATGGCAATGCACTTGTCGAGCCAACCTTTATATAAATTACTATACCAAACTCTCACTTTCAGTATTGCACTAAATCTAGAAATAATGTTAAACGGTATTTGCAAATATTGAGCAAAACTCTAAAACTAAGATGAGAAGCAGAATTCTAACATCGAGTTTTAGATGAAGAGTGATCGGACATAAATCTCGTATGTATCAAATTTGTCCTCTCAGATTCGCCACCTAATATTGCAGCTCAACAATGGCTTCCTGAAAACCCTGTAGAGAGAGAGAGAGAGAGAGAGAGAGAGAGAGAGAGAGAAAGCAATTCATTAATGGAAAGCAGTTCAACAATGGCACCCGGGAAATAAATTGTATTCAAATTCAGTAGATGAAGTGAGCAAGAACATACGTGCAACTCAGATAATCGATAACTCAACTCGCCCTTTGCCGAAGTTGAAGTGCATACAAATGATACATATGTACACACTGTGAAGTTGCAGTTCATAAAACCGAATCAGCCGCTTAAGCAAGTCTCCATCGATGCATAGGGGTTGAACAAACAGCTTCCATCATTGTTGGTCAAACAGAGTACAAACCTGCAGCATTGTCGATCATGGAAGACCACAATATTAGTGTCATTCAATTGCACGTTTAACAAATAACCCTGGTTAAAGAGAGAGTATTAACCGGCATGAATATATAAGTTCATTGGCTTGAAAAATTTATACACGCAACCATTTCACATAGGTTAGCAGCCATTTGACATACATGTTGGATCGCGTGTGCATATCAACTTGAAAACCATGAAGCTTCTGGAAAGGCAGCTTTCCAAAGCTTCTGAAGATATTATTCTATAGAAAATTGAAACATTTTGCAGCAGATAGCAGTAACCGTCGCTCGCCACTTTATTCGGCAACACTTAAATAATTTAGTTTATCGCCTTTAGCATCAATCGTGATATTGTAGCAAATTATGTTCATTAAGGATAGAAGTTGTATGACACATTCAGCCATCTTACCCCATTTTCCTGTCAATCTTTCATGAAGAAGTAAAGACAGAGAAACTATGTGTCAATAAAAACAAAGGCAGTAAGAAGGGATGTGATAGTAGTTAACAACATATTCAATTAAATAACTTTCTGAAGCTTCATAAAAGGAAACACATCACGACAACATCCTTCTACATCATGTTGAACGGAAGTTCTAGGTTGCATTAAGAAAATACATATGGTAGTTTATATGTCTAGTAGAAAGCAGAATATAAGGTTGGGTAAGCCATATGAGATTGGTCAAAGAGCACAAAATAGTAGCATAAGGGCTGAATAATTAAAATGATCATAGAACCAAATCATAAACAATCCGAATCCCATAGCATTACCAGAAGAGCATGTTTTCTCCGAAATGCATAACTGAAAAAGCAAATAACCAAGCCCCTTCAACCAGAAATTCATTGAATATCCATGATTTGTCTGTGAAACCTGGACTTCCCAGATTGAGTGTTGATTGCAGCTAAAAATGTGGCTGCATTTTCCATGTCAAAGCCTGGATCAAATGAGTAAGAAAGGAACAACGCGAAAGTTTCTAAAACAACATAAAGAACAACTACCTAATCTGGTGATAACACCATTAGAAGTTACCCAAGTTGCATGAAATGCAGCAAGGGGAAACAACCACCCACACAGAATAGAAGAAACTGCAAGATGGATTGAGCTCTAAGGAAGAATTATCTACACATACACTACAATCTAAATGCCACATACAACCCTGCTTAACTTTGTTCTTCTCATTTTCAAGATTCTATCTCCCATTTCTATTCTTCTAAATCAAACATCAGGAAATATAGTAAGAGATAATAAATTTAAATACATAATCTCATAGAAGGATTGGAAAGATAAATTCAAATTGAAATACGAATCTCAGGACATGCTATCAAAGCATCTATTGACCACTAAAGGCACCTATAACTTCGATAGCGCAAACTAAGCTTTCCTTTTCTCAACAGATTATTGTATCAAATGGAACCCAAAAGAAACACCCTCAAGTTTAACTTATATGCATGCCAAGCTAATTCATGGCCGAACTCTAATTCATGGTAGTAATCAAGAAATTATAAATGTTTAAATGACATGATCCTTCTTACCTCCCTCTGCCTCTCCAAATCACCGCCAGAATTCAGAATGAAACAAATCTCCTCTTCTCCTTTTCTGGCTGCACCGATCTTTTGGTCTTCTCGACGGCCTGAAACAAATCTCCCTAATATTTACGGAAGTGAATGGGTTCCACCGCTGGTGTTCTTTTCATTGCCGCGACCTGAGGATTAACTGCTAGCCGCCGCCGCCGCCGTTGCCTCTTCTGTCGCGTTTGTGCTCTCCCCGACGGCCTGAATCACCCCCACAGAAATGCCAAATGATCAAAACCAAACATCAGAATCATAAATGAAAAGCTGAAATCCGCCAAGAAGAACCAAAACACAACCAAAATCACATACCGCCGAACTCCATCGCCACCAAGGTCGTCATCTCCTTACTCAAACGCCATCATCCCTGCCGCGGCCACCGTCGCTCAGAGTTGGATGGAGCCCTCATGATTCAGGGATG